TCCCTAATTGTTAGAAAGGATTTCCTTGTGAGGAGACAAAAGCTGTTACCCAGTCATCCTAGTTCTGCCCTCTTGGATGAAGCAGAAGCCTAATTTCTCTTTCAGGAGTAACTAAATTATATTAGTCAGTGAGGCTGTCAGTCAGAATTCAATAATTGCCTACTATGTGCTAGGCACTTCAGTAACAGCTGGGTATACAAAGGCAGTCCCTGCCTTTGAAGAACAAACAATCCAGGTATGTTAGATGCTGTGAAGAATACAAAATATTTTTTTAAATAGAGGATCTGCCATTATGGGATTTATTGTCTATGGAAGACCTTCATTATGTATGTCATGGACATCTTTTGCAATCTGGTGAAACCTATGTATTCCTTCTCAGAAAAAATGTTTCTACATTCACAAAAGAAAATGCATAGGATTAAAAAGGAACATTACATTGAAATAAATATGGATTTTTTTCATCCAAATTCAAGGACCCTCTGAAATCTATTGATAGAGACCCTCTGGGTATCCTGAGGACTCCAGACTAAGGACCCCAAGGATATTATGATGAAAATTAGACGATTCAAAATTCTAATTAAAAAATATATTTAACTCTTTGAGGGGAAACAAAGTCTATATAAACCCAATATATTATTACTGTTGTTATTGTTTTTATTATTATTATTATTATATTACATTATGTCGAGATCTATCAATTTTTCTCCTTTCAGTCTTATTCTCTGGCGGCAGGGATAAGAACTAGATACGCTAAAATTACCCTATTGAGGACAGGAGTTTAGACTTTCCAAACACTTCAAAGGCAAAATAAATCCACAAAACCAGGCTTTCAAACTACTACCTGAAGCCCAATCGTCTGACAAAGATAAAGGTTAACCCTTTGACGACCAGAGTTAGACCCATCTACTAGGCATGCCCAGTTACAGGATGCTTCACAGGAGTTTCACTTTTTCCAGGTTTTATCAGCCGCAAAGAGGAGGAGGAGATAGGAGAGGGAGGGGAAAACAAGTACAGCTTTTTTGGCTTTAGCAGGTAGGATCATTCTGATTAGGGAAGGCGAGGGGTGGGGTAGGTGGTGGGATCACCCAAGGAAGCTTCATGCACTTTATTCTGTCATCAATTTGGTAACTTTCCAAGGTGGCAACACCCCCGCCTCTTGCTACCATCCAGTCTCGAAAAGATCCGGTAAATTATCTCGGTGCAGGGTAGCCATTCAATAATCTGAAGGCTCTAGGCAGAGGAGTTTAAGGGAAAGAAGGAGAGTCAGTGAGGTCGGTCCTTATTTCTCTGTAGATACTTCACCTGAGAAAGAACAGCAGTAAGAACATCAGCGTCCTCTAAAGTAAAACTTAGTCTCAGACTTGAAGTCAGATATTTTCTAATGTCTCACCCCTACACCTTCCCAGCCTAACCCATTAGGCTCTCTCCCCTCCCTTATTCAGTGCCCTGTCTCTTGAGTTCTCTGTCCCTCCACCCTAATCATTACTAAACCCCGGAGAAGTGGAATCTCCTTGCAAACCTTGCGTGGTTTTAACTGGGGACTGGGCATGCTCAGTAGATTAGGCTAGGCTTTTTTCCCCCTTCAGGGGAGTAGGGGTGTGGGGGGAGGTTGGCGGGGTGGTGGCAAGTTAGAAGCGCTTGCAGCAGGATCCCGCCCCCTGGATCAGGCTCCCCCTGCAAAAGGACTGTGCAAAGGTTTCAAAGCCCAGGTCCTCAGGCATCCAAACCCGGAGGGCTAGACGAAGCTTGCCCGCAGAGCAAGGCAAGCTCACCCCATCCCAAGCCTGAGGAAGGGGACACCGCTCTCCGTGGTACTGCAGAGAGCGCAGCTCCGCCCTTCTCGCAGAAGGACAGCACCCGGTATCACGTAACCCAGCCTCCTCCTTTTCCACCACCACCACCTCCTCCTCCTCTCTTCTCTCCTCTTCTCCTCTCCTCCTCCTCCCCTCCTTTGCCTGTTCTCCCTTCCCTCACTCCTAGAGATAGACGCTCAAGCCTGACGCCTCTGAAAACGCAGCAGCAGTCGCCTTAGAGCCAGAGACCTCGGGAAATTCTCTTTGACCGATGCATGCTTCTGGTTCTGCCAAGAGCTAAAAGGAAAATCCAAGCAGGCAGGTAAAGAAGCTCAAAATGTATTGGGGGCGGGTGGAGGAAAGGATAGTAGCGGAGGGATGCGGGGTAATGGGCTGGGGAGGGAAACCCCCCCCACCCACCCCCTTCCCGTAACTGAGCTAGGATCTGCCACATATGCACAAGGGAGAAGGTTGGGGGGTAAACGGAGGGGGAGGATTGCGTGCAGCCTACCAAATAGGTGGATGGTAAGAACATGAGATGGTGGACTCGAGATAGTAACTTAGAGGTTAGAATGCTGTGTTTTATTAGCAACAGCAAGAAAAGAAGTGGCAGGCTAGACATTTAAGCAATAAAATACATATCCCCACCCCCCCCCACCCTCAGCTGCGTGTTTCCTTAATCCATGCAATCCAAGAAACTGCACTGGGAATAGAGATGGAGCGTAGGGACTGGGCGGGAAAGAAGGGGAGAATATTGGGTGTGTATTGTCATTAGGGGACTTATCTGAGAGCGAAAAAATAATTAATCACTTTTCTTTTTTTATTTTAATGTGTCTGAAACTATTCAAGTTCTTGCTGATCGCATGCTTTGAAGGATAGGGAAAGGGGTGTGTGTGTGTGTGTGTGTGTGTGTGTGTGTTAGAAACACATTAAAATAAATGTAACTGCATCTGGTGAGGGTATTGTATCGATCCTTCCAGTAGCTTGGGAATGAATTTGATTCTAGAAATGAAAGAAAAGATTAATGAGGCTGTTAAATCTGCTTTTGAATTAGAGCGCTTCTCCTTTTGGCTGCAGCAAGGTTGTTTTTCAGATCCTTTTATTTCATCCTGTAATTTGTGAACTGGCCAGGTATTCCCTGTACCCAGAGACCTTCCTTTTTCTCCGTATAAATACACACTGATACACACAATGAGCTTCCTCTAAGAATTGTGATAGCTAGTTGTCCTGCTCTATGCTAAAAAAAAAATGTATTTGTCTTCTATTTTTCCCTTTTCCTTCTTAAAAAAAATAACAAATTAGATGAGGAAGAAGATGAAAGGAAGAAAGGGAGGTAGATTATAGGGTGATCCATGTAAATATATGAAAAAAACTAGATCTGAAAAAGCCATGATAAAAATGATTTTCTAATGGGGCAGCTAATATTTGGATTCTGTATGCTATTTTAAGTTTGTGTCAATACTTCTTTATTTTGCATGTTATTGAAGATTCAGGGATATGTGTCCACTTGTGAGATAGAATATCTTAAATTATGTCTTCTTTAAAATAATAAAACTGTCTTTCTGAAGACTAGGCGAATCACTCTACAGACAGGTCTGGTGTTTGGTGATGGTGTGGATGTATCAGCCATAATAAATAAGCAGCTGGTATTCTTTCTTTTGCTAGTGTGTGTGTGTATGAGAGAGAGAGAGAGAGAGTGAGAGAGAGAGAGAGAGAGAGAGAGAGAGAGAGAGAGAGAGAGAGAGGGAGGGAGGGAGGGAGAGGGAGAGAGAAAGACAGAGAGAGAGAGAGAGAGAGAGAGAGAGACCCAGCGGTCATCAATTTCATCTAGGGAGGAACTTGAAGTGGGATCCCTGAGCTTGGTGGCTCTCAGCTGACACCTGTAGGGATTGCTCTGTACTGAAGAGAAATGCTTCATGTTCCCTCTGTGCAGAAGCAGCAGCACAATGCGGTGTAATAAATTACAGCTAGTTTCTGCTTGTTAAAAAAAAAATGTGTTAATTAGACAGTGAGCTTCTGTGTCCAGGTGATAAATTATTTTTTGGAGGGATAGTATAATAAGCCTTCTTGACATGGCAAGACAACATATTCATGGTACTGTTCTTGTCCCTACAAGATGCCTCTTCCCCCACCTTTTTCCCCCCAAAATTGGCTTAGGCAATACCCAGTATTTATGAGTTTCTGGTATTTCAAAAAACAGTCATATTAGAGTGGGATAATGAGAGGTGATTTAATAGCATAGACAGGGGGCTGAGGTAGTGGTGATTCAAAGGTATGATTTTAAATCCTTGAATTTCTTGAGCCATAAGAGCTGAGGTGACATGCTTGCCAGCTGCTTCTCAGGACACAAAAAATTCTAGTAGGGGACAGCCAGATAAGGGATTGAGCAGGATTTAGGATTCCTATAATGATAGGAAAAATATTAAATATGACAACATCCCTAGAGGATTGCGTATCTTATAGGAGATGAATTGAAGATTGAATCCTATTTTTAAAAATTCCAAGTTCCAATGGGATTTATACCAACCATTAAGGAGTATTTTGGGAATTCTGATTTTAAAAAGTAACTAAAGATCCTTTGAAAATTTTGAAGCATCTTATAAAGAACCCTTCTTGCACTATCTCTCCTTGTGAAAATAAAATGATAAGAATGCAGTATAAATAAAAGTAAGCAGTTTCATAAAGGCTGTTTAATCTACTTTATATGTCCCCAAATCTATTCATACATATGATGTCTGGCTAAGTGATATTCATACTTCTATACTCAGGTAAGAGATAAAAATGGAGGAGATATATTTCTGGAGGAAAATATCAATGACAAGAAGAATAAGCAGGGCTTAATTTCCGCCTTTCAGATTTTTTAAAAAGGAAACTTCCTTAAAAAATAAAGACGATAAAGAAGATCAGATTTTTGTCCTAAACTGATTTGAATGGCTGTTGGTTAATTACCATAAGAAGTTACAAATTTGCAGTAAGCAGTTTTATATGGTTACACTAGACTTGAGGATTACACTCGATTAAACAAACACAGAATTTGCCATATTTCCTCATTTCTTTACAATACTAGTTTTATACATGGTATACTATTTAAAGAATAGTTTGCCCAATAATTGGTAAAACAATAAGAAAATTCACCTGACTGATATAGTAAATAAGTTTAGAACTTATTTTGTTTTCTTAATTCTTTGCAGATTTCTGGGTCACAAAAAAAAAAAAAAAGCCAAAAAAAAAAAACAAACCAACAACAACAACACATCGACATGCGCCCAGATTGATCTTGGTCTTGCATGGAAGGAGGGAAAAGAAGAGGAGCTGTTGAGCTTTACAATTAAAGGAGCTCTCTTTCTATTTGACAGCTTTTGGGCTTCAACCCCACTGTTGGGGAGAAGAAAAAAAGGGGGATTTTTAAAAATAGCTTGGGAAGTCATGATCAAGGAGGCTAACATTCTGCCTTGGCTACAGTGGGACCAATGTTTTGTGATCTGACAGCATAACCTCTATTGGCAGGCAAGTCTGGAATTGATAATTGATGTTCTAAAGAAGATAAGGACCTTTTTTCCCCCTTACTGGGGACTATCCATTTTGGGGGTAACATGTGAAGATATATGTATTCAGGCATGTGGAAATATTAATATTAGGTTGTCAAACATCTGAGAAGTTTGGTGTTTTGTTTTTTCCTATTCATCTGTCCTGTCTCCACCACCAAAAGAATCTGAAGGATTGTTGCATTTGGGAGTGGAAGCATCTGCTGACTCATTCATTGAACCAACAGCCCATATCTTCTACCTAAGTGATCAGCATTTTTTTTCTTTGTTCTTGATAAAGTTTTTAGCACATTTCCTCAAGGTGTATTTACATCTTGGCCTGGAAGTTCTGTGGCTATACTATACTACTAGGGCCGACATTTTCCAGTGGGGTAGAAAATATAGAGAGGTTGAGAGGTTTTTGAAAAAAAAAGAAAAAAAGAGGGTTTCAGGTAAAGGAGTGAGCATTCCTACTCCAGCCATTGTCTTTACTATTCCTGCCACTTTTTATTCCCTGATACCCTCCCTAATTCCACCTTAGGGTGTCCAGGAAGATTTTGAACCTGTCCACCCCTGTGTCTCCGCGCCGCACCCCAGCCCCGAGCATGGGGACGGCGCTGCTACAGCGTGGGGGCTGCTTCCTTGTATGCCTCTCACTATTACTTTTGGGGTGCTGGGCAGAATTGGGCAGTGGGCTGGAGTTCCCAGGGGCTGATGGCCAATGGACGCGATTCCCTAAGTGGAATGCCTGCTGTGAGAGTGAGATGAGTTTCCAGCTGAAGACCCGAAGTGCCCGGGGCCTAGTTCTCTATTTTGATGATGAAGGTTTCTGTGACTTCTTGGAGCTGATCCTTACCAGAGGTGGCCGGCTGCAGCTCAGCTTTTCAATCTTCTGTGCTGAGCCTGCAGTACTCTTGTCAGATACACCAGTCAATGATGGCACTTGGCACACAGTGCGGATTCGCCGTCAATTTCGAAACACAACTTTGCTCATCGACCAAACAGAGGCCAAGTGGGTGGAGGTCAAGTCAAAGCGACGTGATATGACAGTATTTAGTGGCCTCTTTGTGGGTGGCCTGCCTCCAGAACTACGGGCTGCAGCACTCAAGTTGACATTGGCCTCAGTGAGGGAGCGAGAACCCTTCAAAGGGTGGATTCGTGATGTGCGGGTGAACTCATCCCAGGCCTTGCCAGTGGAGAGTGGCGAGGTGAAACTGGAGGATGAGCCTCCCAGTAGTGGTGGGGGGAGCCCGTGTGAGGTTGGGGAGGAGGGCGAGGGAGGCGTGTGCCTCAATGGAGGGGTCTGCTCCGTGGTCGATGACAAAGCGGTGTGTGACTGCTCCCGAACTGGCTTCCGCGGCAAGGACTGCAGCCAAGGTAAGAGGACCCAATGCCCACCTCTCTAAAGGGGGCAAAGAAAGGGAATGGTGGGCATGATGGGTAAGCTTGCATGGAATTTTACTATTCTAGACAATGTGTGTCTGTTATCTCCAAGGTGAGGTCCTATCTCTTCCCGCCTCTCTGTCTTTGTTTGATCCATGGTTTCTCCTAAGAATCCTCTAACCCTTCCAGCAGTCACAATCCCTGATTCCATTGTCAAACAGGGATCTCCTTATTTCCTTGCTTGCTCCTACCTAATATGGAGCATAATGAACTCTTTGCACTTTTGGATGAAGGTATTAACCTTATCTCTGAACCAGTACTCTAAGTCTTCATAAATCTGGCATAATTTTTCATTTGGATATAGCCCATCTATTTACCCTGAAACTTCCCCCTCACCTATTCACTCCAGATAATCCTACAAACTACATAGCTACTGTTTATGCAATAAAAGTTAATTTAAAAAAAATCTGAAAGAGACTAGGTAGGCATATGATGGATTTTGGAGTGAGTGTGGAGGTGGAATTGGGAGGTTCACCATGACCAAGATTAAAAACATTTATGTGATTATTTGTGACCAATAAAAAGAAGATAGAGTCATGAACATCCTATTCAATAGATGGAATAGAGAAGATAGAAATAAACTTGAAAGAAAAAAGAAGAGGAAAATTTGAATTTCTTTTTTTGTTAGGGCAGTAGTAATCTGGAGATTTCACTTGGTTTTCATAGCTATAAAGAAACCCATCATCTACTAAAGAAAAAAGAAACATTGGTGTTTGGTATGGTTCCTTGAAGTGGAGTAAGATAGGCCATGCTGATTTCTGAAAATGCTGGAAAATTGAATGTGTGTTTCCCAGATGATGATAGACAAAATGTGAAGTAAACCAGTGCAGAAAATGAGTATTTTAAGCATGGGAAGTTACTGAATGTTTATACAATAGGAATAGATAAGAAAAATTGGAAAGGGCATGATTATTAGGATATTTCCCTATGTTAAAAAATCTGAGAAAATAAGGCATAAACAAAATATATACTGTTACTGAAGCTTGAGGCAGTTTGAAAATTACTTTTTTAAAAATTGTTTACAACTAGGTTTCTTTTGCCTCTGTCACATTTTTACTTTTCAGTGTGATTCTGGTGTGTGCCTTGCATGATAGTGGACAAATACCAGCTCTTTGGGTGGGCCAATAGCATAGCATCCCCAAATTAGGGAATTAATATTTTTTAAATGATGAAAAGTGATGTGTTACTAAAAGCTAAATAGAAGAGAAGGCACATGGCATATAAAATAAGTATTTTATAATCTTAATTAGGGAGAACAATGACTGAGTAAATGTCATTTATGAGTGAAATGAAAAAGGTAAACAGTTTATGCCATCAAATGGTGTGAGCTATATAGACAGACACCTCATTTGTGCTTGTGTTTCATTATGTAATACCTTCTGTCTTTTACTTACTGATGGGGAGAAATAGCCAACATAAATATTATTAGGACTGGCAATTCTCTTTCACTTGTCACTAGTTTTCAGAATTCTTTGCTTAAAATGTGTAAATGTTTACTCTTTTTTTAAACATCAGAAACAATTGGGAGGTAGTCTAATTGTACACCTTGAAATTTTAGCTGACTTGGCAACTAATGGAAGCAAAGTCAAGGATCACTTCATTTTAGGATACATCCAGATAATTATTGACAGTCATGATCACTTACTCACAAAATTTCATCAGTAGAATATCTTCCAAGGCATATGCTACAAACCAGCTTTGCCAGTAAATTTCCATGGCTGTAGTATTAAACTTAATGGTTATATTTACATTCTCAATCCTTCCTCCTTGGGGCAAAGTTGGGTCCTCATATGAATCAAAGGAGGAAATGACAGATATAATGGGTTGGCTGTAGTAAAAAGAAAGTGTAGAAAAGGATATAAAGTACAGTTATTCTGTAGAAAGTGGTTCATCCAAACCTGGTATTGCTTTAAAAGGTATAAGATACAATTAAATGAAGAACACATGAAATGAAACTTCTGTCTTTAAATTAGGCAACAAATATGATACAATGACAGCTGGTACTGTGTGGGTGGGTGTTTTTAATGAAAAATTTGATTTTTTTCTGTGCATCTTGGATGCAGAAAACGAGGGATCATGCATAATCAAGAAGGTTTCAGCATAGAGGGAAAAGGGTAAAAAAGTAATATGTCAAAGAGAAGCAAAATTAGATATCTTGGGACCTACATTTTATTTTGACACGCAGGAAGTTTTTTTTTTTTCCCATGTAAAATAAAGGATACTTCCCAACCTGTATTATTGAACACTGTAGTACCTGATGAAAAGGATAATTCCACCTAGGATTCAAACCCATCAGGATTCTTGTGTAGCATTAATTCGGTTTGGAAATATAGTTCATATATTGAGTGCAATGGCAGTTGTTTAGTCCTAACCACTAAAGACAATATGAGATTAGGCTACTTTTAATAACACAGAATCAGAAAATTAAGAGAGTAGAAACTGAAGTCACTTTCCCCAAAAGGACTCATTCCTTGTTGCCTATTTTTTCCTATTATGTGTGTGTCAAATGATTTCCTGTTGAATAATTAATTTAGGATAGAAATGAGGAGTCTTTTGAATTCCTTCCCCAATATTATCTCCATGTATCTAGTCAAGGGTCAACAGATCCATTCAGATGCAGTTAAAATGGAGCTATTTCTTCAGCCATAATTTATACTCAATTGCCCACAGTTTGTTTGTTTTTTTTTAACATGTTAAAAATAATAGTGGATATTATATACTTACTCTCTGATTTCCCAATGCGTTACCTATTTCTAGACAGAATCAGAACCATGACCAAGTGAGAGAGCTTGTCTTTCTCTCCCACCAGGTCTAACATCCTCAGGAAAAAAAAAACAAAAAACAAAAAACCTGTATTTCCAGACTTATACAACATTTGGTTTTACTAGTACATCTGTCCCTAAGGAGTTCACCTTTTCTTATTTTCCTGTTTATTGACAACATATGTCTAGGGGGGCAGTACTGAAGGGAACTGTGTTATCAGACCTTTTTTGAGGTAGATTGAAATACAGTACAAGTTAAGAGAGTAATTCTAGTTAGTAATTATTCTAGAACCAAGACTGGAGTACAAATACCCACATCCCTAGCCAAGTAGTAATTTTGAACTAGGTTGCAGTTTCACTAGATTAATATTTAGGTTCTTTATTTTTGTCTCTGTGATTCAAAAGGTGGTATTTGGAAAAAAAATACATTTCCCCCAACCATTGAGATATATCTATTATATTGTGCAATGGTGAGGATAAACATCAGAATTTGACAGGGAAAGAAATAATTTTTTAACTGATAGATTATATGATACATTGATTTCCCATGAGTCCCATGTTCCTTCTGATGCTAAGCTATATCAATGTTTAGCATTTCTGCTTCAGTGTACTAAGGAATTTTCCTAGTGTGCTGAAAGAATTAATGATATCCATAGATACCCAAGTATCAAAATAAAAATAAAGACCCTAAAAACCTTTACAACTATTAATTTAATAAATATTTCACTTATTTCACATTTTCAATAAAATCAGATCTTGTGCATTTTGTATTTTAAATTTAAGATATTAACTTGAATTTTGATTTTTTTTATCACCTCCCACATCCAACTGTCTGAGAGATTTTTACTTTGATTGATTGCCAAAAATTTTTGAACATCTACAAGGTTATTTATATACTATGTCCTATATGGGAGCTTATAAAACTGACCAGTGTCAAACATATATATATATATATATATATATATATATATGCACATATATATATATATTCACTTATATTTGTATATACACATACAATCTTTAAGGATTGTAATCCACATGAATGTGCCCATTTATTATATACAAAGGACTAAACTGGATTTTATGTGTAAGTTTTGGTTCCATTCTATCAAAAATTTATGAATTTCAGAATGTTTATGAACGTCATCATTCTTCATATGGATCTGGGTCCCTCCTTTGGAAATCATTATCTATAACATTTATCACATTTACAGGCATAAAGTATTAGCACTGAATGATAACTTAGAGATCATCTCCCATATTTTTCTAATATGAAAACTAATAATAAGAGAGATAAAGCCATCTGTCTAAGATAGTGGCAAATATGGGAAGGGAAACACAGGCCTTCTGAACCTGTGTAGCATTTTTATATTAGATCATTTTTAATGTTTATCTGTTTTATCTGTTCAGCTAGGTAATAAACACTTGGAGGAAAGGAACATGGCAAATGCTTCTCCATAGTTCCAAGGTATAGAGCACAATGTTTTGTACCTAACTGGCACACAACATATTTTTTATTTCCTTAATGTCCCTTGTACCACCTTCTATCACCAAGGTAGATATCCTATAGAGAGTGTTGTTTGAATGTAATTTTCTGGCATTAATATTACTGGAGTGCCAGCATAAAGAAGACAGAGACTCTTTCTGCACTATACCTAGAATGGTACTCTGCAGACAAAAAAAAAAGCATGTAATTCATGTTTATTTAATAAAAATTGAATTGAACAGTAAACTAAGAATAGAACTCAACTTTGTTCAAGAAACTTATTTGAAATCATCTGTGTCATTCAAAGAGTTCTCGTAAAAATAAATGATCTCTGTTAGAAGTTTTCAAACTCGGTCTGAAAGCCATCAATGACTTGGGCCTGAATGAAAGGTTTTGCAGGTATAGTAATGGGTGATCTTCAACAGGAACTGTGCCTGGCCTAGAAAATCTGTGTTTTAAAAATCAAAGAGGAGTTTAAAATCCCAAAACTGCAAAGGAAGTTGTCTATCTATGGCTTTCAAAAGATTTCTTTACAGTCAGGAAGGTGTTGAAGAGTAATTTTTACCTGGGCCTTTTTCCCCCTCTCAAATGTAAAGGAACTCTAACCAAAGATGGAATCTTGGGTATTGAAAATTCTGTGGTTTAGAAATTCTTGTTCTTATTCTTTCCCCTTTAATCTGAGTCCA